TACACTAAAGACAAAATTCCTCAGCAGGACCTGCAAGACCTAACTCACTTGGCTGTACACCCTAGAAGCTAGATACTGAACGACACGTTGTCCTTAATAAACATTTACTAAATTATACCGACTTTTCCTCCAATAAGAAAATCACTGTGGTTGAAGCTCAAAATTATTGGGTTGTCAGAAAAGTCATGATGCATTTTCTATATTTTTCTATGCAAAATTGTGTCATGACTTCTGATAACCTAATATTAAAACCAACACTTGCGAAGGTGACCTCTGACCCCATCATCCCGCTGTTTCAGTCCTAATCCCTCCCTAAACCTTCATATTCTTTTACACAGACCATCAAGGCTGTTTTTAATTGATATTTTTCATGACAGAGAGATGACAAAAGAGACCAAAGGGAGGGAGACACAGACACCCTGACAGGGTCCTCCAACTATCCCCAGGCTTGGCTGGTAGTGGACACGGGTGGATTACCATGGCACTACCCCTCCCTCCAAGGCCACCGCTCTGACACTGAGACCAAAATGCTGCGAGGAAGTGGCTCCGAAAGCACTGCTGGGGCCCTGGTCTGAAACATGGGACCTAATGAGACCAGCTGGCACACACTGACCCTGACATTCAGCCAGGACTCCAGTTACCCAACTCAGCTGAGGACAGGCCATGCACGACAGAAGTTCAAGTATTCCCACCACAAATCAAGATCAATAAACAGAAGAAAAGACAGCCACCCTCGCAATCAGGAATGAAAATACAACTCAGAGACCACTTTACACCCGTCAGATTGACAAACGTGAGAAAGAAGAGAGGAATGGCATTTGGAGCTGGCCACCAACACTCCTGGAAGGAGTGAGAGGGGCTGATCCCGTGCAGAGAACCCAGCTTACAGGAAATGAATAGCTGTACTATCTGAAGACACAGACAGCAAAGATGATTACTGGTAATGCTCTCTGGAGTATCAAAACCTAGAAATAAGTTAGATGTCTATTACTAAGGGAACTGCTAAATAAATTATGGTACAACTAGAGGTGGCATTATACAACTATAAAAAGAAATAAGGTTCTAGGCTGGCAGGTGGAGGGGTGGTTAAAGGTGCTGGATTCTCACATGGCTGACCATGGTTCGAGTTCCGGACCTAGTGGTTTGCTTTCTCTTTCCCCGTCTCTCTCTCTGTCCAATCAAAAAATAATAAAAAATAATAAAAAAAGGAGTTTAATTCATTAATTAACTGATTGATTGATTTAAAAAAAGAAGTAAGGTTCCTGCAGGTGGAAAAATGGTCAAGGCATTGTACTCCCACATGGCCGACCAAAGTGTGAGTCCAGGATCAGCAGCTTAAAAAATCACGGTGTGGGGACCAGCAGTTGGTGTAATGGCTATGTTGCTGGACTCCCATGTAGTCGACCACAGTTTGAGTCCTGGACCTGGTGGCTTAAATTCATGCTGGGCACATGTGCATGCGTGCCCAAAATCCAGAGAAGAGAATGGAGGAGAAGGGACTGTGGAGTGGCCACCCCCCCCCCCCCCCGGGTTTGATTTCTCACTTTCTGTCTCTCTTTCTCGTGAGCGCACATGCTGGGCTGCCCAGGTGTCGTGGTGGTTAAGGCACTTGACACGCCCAAATGGCCAACTGAGGTTTGGTTCGACCTGGTGGCTTGCTTTCTTGCTTTCCCTCTCTCTCTGTACGTTTATCTTTGGTCAAATTAAAATAAATGAACAAATAAATAAAATTAAATAATTATTTAAAAAAAACACACACACACTCTGGGCACATATATGTGTGTGCCCAAAATCCCCAAGAGAAGGGATTGTGGCATGGCCACAGCCCCGGGGGGTGATTTCTCACTTTTTCTCCTCTTTCTCTCTCTCTCTGGCAAGCACTTGCTCCATATGGCAGAATCTTTTATTTTTTTTTTTTTTTAAAGATTATTGTATTTAACTTTGTTTATTTTAATTTGATCAGAAAGGGACAGAGTGAGAGAAAGAGAGAGAGAGAGAAAGATGAAAAATGAGAAAACTAGGTCCAGGACTAGAACCACAGTCAGCCATGTGGGAATCCAGCGCCCCTAACCACCATGCCACTTGTCAGCCCCATTTTTTTAAAGAGAGCTATAGGACACCTGTGCTGGCAAGAGGCTGAGAGAGACAGAAAGTGAGAAATCACCCCCCAGGGGGGATGGCCATGCCAAAATCCCTTCTCCATTCTCCTGTCAGGATTTTAGGCAGGCATACACAAGTGCTCAGCATGAGTTTCAAGTTGCAGGGTCCGGGACTTGAACTATCACTGACTACATGGGAGTCCAGCACCTTTACCACTATGCCACATGCTGGTCCTGCAAAAATCTTAACAAAATTAAAAAGCGGGGAAAGCAGATTTCATAATGGTTACATCGCTGGTTATAGCCACAGTTCATGTCCCAGACCTAGCTTAAAACTGATGTCGGGCACATGTGCACGCATGCCCAAGATCCCAAGAGAACAGGGGAGAACGGACTATGGGGTGGCCATCCCCCCCGGGGAATGATTACTCACTTTCTGTGTCTCTGGTGAACACAAGTGCCCTATAGTGAAAATCTCTCTTTAAGAAAAGGGGGGGTGGCATAGTAGTTAAGGCACGCAGGACTCCCATGTGGCCAACCGTGGTTAGAGTGAGCCCAGAATCCCAAGGGATGATAGAGGAGGGGACTGTGGCAATGGCCATTTCCCCACCGAGTGATTTCCCACTTTACCTTTCTCTGTCTCTCTCCAGCACCCTATGAAATAATTCTACCTGTATCTATGGCTTGGAAAAATGTTCATTGTATGTTGGTAGGTTAAATAATCCAAATTTCAGAGAAACACACTTATTATGACTGCATTTTCTAAAGAAAACAGGGCCAGCTGGTGGCATGGTAGTTAGGGCAGCTGGATCCCATGTAGCCAACAGCGCAGTTCAAGTCCTGGACTCAACACCTTAAAAAAACGCACTTAATAAGGACCAGTAGTTGGTGCAATGGGTATGTTGCTGGACTCTCATGTAGTCAACTGTGGTTCAAGTCCTGGATATGGTGGCTTAAACTCATATCGGGTGCGAGTGCATGTGTGCCCAAGATCTCAAGAGGAGAATGGAGAAGAAGGGATTGTGGCATGGCCATCCTCCCCGGGGGATGATTTCTCGCTTTCTGTCTCTCTGGTGAGCACATGCGCCCTATCGCAAAAACCTCTCAAAAACCACACTGGGCAGGCCAGTGGCATGGTGGTTAAGGTGCTGGACTCCCACCTGGCCAATCATGGTTTGAGTACAGAATCTAGTGGCTTGCTTTCTCACTTCCATTTCTATCTCTCTCTGTCACTCTCTGGCCAAATTAAAAAGAATAATAATAATAGATGAAATCAGGGGCCAGCAGGTGGCATGATGGTTAAGGGCACTGGACTCCCACATAGCTGACTGTGGTTTGAGTCCCGGACCTGGCAGCTTGCTTTCTCACTTTCTCTCTTTCTCTCACTCATTCATTCTGTCCTCCTCTGATCAAATTAAAATAAATACAGTTGAATAAAATACTTTTTTAAAATGGATGAAATTAAATACATTTTGTTTAATTTAATTTTATTTATTTTGACCAAAGGAGGACAGTGAGTGAGTGAGCGAGAGA